TTGATTTGCTTCTTTATTTGTTTTAGGCGTCAGCTCACTTGGCTGAACTCGCCGGCTGCACGTATCGGCTCCTCTCTGGTGCCCGGGAGCTGAGGCCTCAGCATCTGTCCTGCTCGGGTGGGGCCCAGGGACCTGAGCGGAGTCCACACGGAGCGTGGGGCTCGGCCTTCAGCCTCCTCCTCCTCCCCAGGGCTCTGGCCTCTGGCCTTTCACACCAGCACAGCTGGGGCTTCTATCCTGTCCTCACCACCCACCTGGCCTGGCTAGGGCCTCCCCTCAGGCAAAAAGCTACAAAAAATAGAACGCTTGTCCCGGGCTTCCCCCCTCTCCAGGGTTGACTCCGGTCCTCTCTGTGTGCGTTGGCCAAGCTCCGGGCGCCTGGCTGCTTTTCATCATCCCGTCCGGGAGGCCTGTGGCTCATAGCAGCTGCTCGGCCCTCACCGAACGCAGGCAGCACGTTTGTTAGTCTCTCTGAAAGAGCAAAGGCTTCCTCAGAATCCCCCAGCACACTGCTCTGTCTTATTGGCCAGAACTGTGTTCGTCTGCTCTTCCTTCACCCCTTTGTTCTGGGACTTGTTTGTTTGCCCTGAAGCGGGTAAACAGAATTAGGGTTGGATGAGCCGGGAAAGAGGTGGGAACAGCTGGAAACCGCTGGATCTTGCCACACAGGACTTCTCAGTGCCTTTCATAGGAAGGTGTGCTTGTTGCTCTCCAATTTATCCCACTCTCTTACCCACACACGTCTTACACCTGCTCATTCGATTACGAAACCCTCTCCCCACAGGCATGTGTCAGAACCGGGACACTCAGGAAGCAGCGAGGTGCCAGGCCTCATTGTGTTCACAGCACTCGAGGCGCTTCCCGCTGGGCAGCCTGACCAGCAGCACTGGCTCTGTCAGTGTTCCCAACTCAACAGCCAGGCTGCGACCATGGCAATGGTTTGGACCAAAACTCGAGGTTAAAGCTTTTTTTCAAGAAAAATCCTCACCGGAGGATATTTTTCCATTGATTTCTAGAGAAGGTGGAAGGGATGGGGAGAGACAAAGAAAGAGAACTATCGATGTGAGAGAGACACATTAATTGGTTGCCTCCTGCACATGCCCCCAACCAGGGCTGGAGATCGAGCCTGCAACCGAGGTACATGCCCTTGACCGGAGTCAAATCCGAGACCCTTCAGTCTGCTGGCCGACTCTCTGTCCACTGAGCCAAACCGACTAAAAAGCTCATGGCTAAGCTTTTACTGGAGCGATGCTGAGTCCTGAACTGGGTGGAATTTCAGGACCAAGGAGAAAAATGTGGCGTGTGACGGGCTGTAACAGCGCAAACCACGTGTGGTGGGATTGTAGGGATCCGTCTTTTTCAAAAAGGTCCTACTGGTACGTTTATGTCATCATTTCCACTGTATTTTAAAAAGATATTTTTAACTGTTTTTAGGGGACAATCAGTGGTTTTAGAGAAAGGCGTCCTCCGCACCAGGGTCTGGGACCCGCTACGCCATGAGCCCATGCAAACCACCTCTCCCTCGGCCCAGTGAAGCTTAATGATCAGACCAGAGCCCTGGCCCAGTAACAGCAGAGAAGACAGACAACATGAAGGCCGCGTGCCTTCCTGCAGGACAGCTCAGCTGGAGAGCACAGTGAGTGCAGGACTAACCGTGTGCAGAGAATGCTACAGACACCATGCGGCTGCCATCAGTAAGACATTTATTTTTATTTATTTTTTTAAAATATATTTTATTGATTTTTTACAGAGAGGAAGGGTGAGGGATAGAGAGTTAGAAACATCGATGAGAGAGAAACATCAATCAGCTGCCTCTTGCACACCTCCTACTGGGGATGTGCCCGCATCCAAGGTACATGCCCTTGACCGGAATCAAACCTGGGACCCTTCAGTCCGCAGGCCGACGCTCTATCCACTGAGCCAAACCGGTTAGGGCAGAAATTTATTTTTAAAACAATCCAAATGCTGGCACCGTCCAGAAAAAATGAACAGGTTTATTTATATTGTGATAACGTGAAACCGCTGCAACTTGCTCCTGAAACAGTTAGACTTGCATTAATGCTTCATGTCCCCGCATTTATGTTAAAAAATTCACACACAAATGAAAATGGAAAAACTGCCAATATCTGATTTCTGTCCCCTATTTTCCACTTGCAATCATATACTCGGGTACCTCTTGACCCCATGGGAAAAAATTTTTAATGTTCAGAACTACCAATAACAAGAAGAGAAATATTTTTTTAAAATTTTTTAAATTGATTTCAGAGAGGGAGAGAAAGCAATAGAAACATCAATGATGAAAGAGAACCATTGATCGGCCGTCTCCCATGCTGGGGACCAAGCCTGCAACCTGGGCATGTGCCCTGACCGGGAACGGAACCGTGACCTCTTGGTTCCTAGGTTGACGCTCAACCACTGAGCCACACCAGCCTGGTGAGAAATATACACTTTTTAAGAATGAAATGTTCCCATCACAGCGGATTCTGGAGCACTGCTCTGCGGACGTGGCGTGCTAGCTGGGTGTCTTTGGCGTAGTTGTCACCTGTTGGGGTGGATAGCACACAGGTTGAGTCGTCCCAAAGGCCAACCAGACGGGCCCTGCCTCCTGCAGAGCCCCACCGGCTGCAGACCCGGAAGGCAGACCTGGTTTGAAGTCCTGAGCAGTTTCTCGCGCCAGACACTGGGAGGGAAGTTTGCGAAAAAGTGCAGTGTAATTTCACCCAGCGCCCAGGACCAGGCCTGTGAGGATGAGGTTTCCTCACCCCTCCAGTAGAGGGCGCACTCTCTCGCTCGAGCTACTGCTGGGGCTTGATGCCTGGTTGGTGTGGGCCTGTAGGGAGCCCTGGTAGAGACCCCTGTACTTACCCTTCTCCTTTGGCGGGATCCCCGAGCCAGAGGCGGCTGGTGTTCCAGCTCATGTCTCTCTGTCCTCTCAGACTTGTCTTCAAGTTACTCACCCTCCACCCGGTTTCCTCAAGTCAGCAGAAGGCAGCCCTGCCCCTCCCAGCCCCCAAGGCGTCGCCTGGGCGCATCCTGCCCAGCCAGACCCGCCAGTCTCAGCAGCAATGGCTTCACTGCCGCCTCCCTCAGCCACCGCCCTGGCCGGGCAGCCGCATCCCCGGGAGGATGCAGCACGGTCCTCCCCCCAGCCTCCCGCCGGTCTCACTGCTGGGCTCTCCCACTGCCAACTCGCCCAGCCCCTCCCCAGTGTCCACAGGGCACCCTTCTGTTCCGCCTCAGCCCCCTGGCCCACCTTTCCGGAAGCCCTGCCCTTCTCCGTGTGGATAACAATAGAAACCCCACGTGCCAGGCATTTTACAGCCACATCTGCAACCTTTCAACTGCTGTGCAGCTTAGGCATTATTGTCCCTTCTACGGATGAGGAAAACTGAGGCCCAGCGCGGTCACACAGGCCACACTGCCTGTGAATAGCAGGGCTGGGATCCAACCTGCGTCTGCCTCATCCCGAGTTACCGCCCCCATCCTGCCCGCCCCTCCTCTGTGAGGAGCTGGTGCTCCTGCCACAGCGCCCACCCTCTTCCCTCAGCTCTTTCACACCGCAGCCCGTAGCCCTGCCACGGCGCTCCCTGGGCTCCAGCCACGCGGCTCGCCCGCAGCCTTTCTGGCAGGAATCACAGCCGCACAGCTCCGTGCCTAACCACAGGCCGCCTTGCCGGGCTCTCTGGTTGCTTCACATTTGCCTGTTTTGTTCCCAAGAAACCGGAAGTGTCTGAGTTCAGGACGGCACTTCCACACACTCCTGTCCCCAGGCCCCGGGAGCAGGGTGTGCCATGCTCCGCGGGGCTGACCTGCTTTCCCAGGAAGGAGGCCGGCGATGCCCGATGCTGACGGGCTCCCCTCTCCCCCAGCAGCAAGCCTGAATCTCTGGTGTACACACACACACACACGTTCTCTGTTTATATGCACAAACACATGTGCACACACATGAACATACGTGCACACACACGTGTTCTCTGTTTATACACACATTTAATCCAAAGTCTCCTTCCAGAGGAGGCAGTGTGTGCACACATACACATGCATGCATGCACATGCACACACGTATTCTCTGTTTATACACGCATTTAATCCAAAGTCTCCTTCCAGAGGAGGCAGTTCTATACGTGGAGCTTCCTACCCAAGTGAGGGAACCCCTTGCTCCCTGAGCCCCGGGCGCTGCCCTCGCTGTGGAAATCCGTCGGGTCAGTGAGGCGCAGAGATGCTGGGGGCCCCCGGGACCTGAGGCATGGCTGTCACACCCCCACGGAGCGAGAGCTGGACTGGCCACGTGGGGCGGGGTAGTTGGTGTCTCAGTTCTAATTCTGGTCCTGCCTCTGGAGGGTCTGGGGACCCGCGGGGGGTGGGGGGGGGTGTGAAAATGTCCTCGGCTTCAGCGGATTTTTTCCCTGGACGCTTTGGAGACGGCATGAAGGTTTGGGTTTGGTGAGAGGGTGGCAGAGGGTCAGCGGGTCAGCGAAGGGCAGGAGAGAAAAGGTGGTGAAGATGGAGGGGGCGATGGGTGGGCCCGAAGCTCACCTTGTCTTCCTTCAGGGCTCTGCCCGCAGCCAGGCCTAACAGGGGGACAAACAAGTGAATACACACAGGGAGCTTATGTAAGAGGAACAATGAAAACCAGTGAGCAGCACACCACGCACCAGGGGGG